TTACATTACATCCTCCTCTTAATGATCCTTGACCCCAAGGATCAAACTCAGGAAATTGACTCTTAACATGGTAGAAATCTTCCCAGGTGGCAGTTTCAACTGGAAGATTCGCCCACTGTACTAAAATTTGCGTTACTGCCTGATTATTTCTCTTCACCTGTCTTTTGTCCAACACTGCTATTGGCTGTGTGAGTACTTCTCCTTCTGGTCCCACAGTGGGTGGTTCCAGCTGAGGTACTTCTTGGTTGCCCACCTTCTTCTTCAATTGGGAAACGTGGAAGACATGATGGATTTGGGCACTTGCAGGTAAGGCTAGTTTGTAGGCCACAGTTCCCACCTTCCCAATCACCTTATATGGACCATAATACTTTGATGCCAGCTTCACATTGGTCCTGACGGCTACTGAGACTTGCCTATAGGGTTGGATCTTTAGGTATACCCAATCCCGCACTTGTAACACTTTCTCAGACCTCCTTCTGTCAGCCTGATGCTTCATTCTTTGCTGAGCTAGTCTCAAATTGTCTTTAAGAATTGCTAACATAGCCTCCCTTTCTGTCACCCATCCTTCCAATTTCACTCCCTGAGCCTGATTCATGCCCAACATAGGAGGACTGTATCCATATAATGCCTGGAAGGGTGTGCATTGCAGAGATGAGTGGAAAGTTGTGTTATACCAGTATTCAGCTAGGAACAACCACTTTGCCCAAGTTTTTGGTTTGCTAAATACCATGCATCTGAGGTAGGTTTCTAAGCACTTGTTGACCCTTTCAGTTTGGCCATCTGATTGGGGGTGATAAGCAGTGGACATACTCAACTTGACCTGCAGCTGCTTAAAAATGGATTGCCAGAGTTTGCTGAGAAACACCTTGTCCCTATCAGTTACAATATCAACAGGTAACCCATGTAACTTATAGACATTCTCCATGAATGTTAGGGCTACACTCTCAGATGAGTATGGGTGATTGATAGCAATGAAATGGCTGTACTTTGTCAGTCTATCCACCACAACAAGAATTACTTCCTTCCCTTGAGATTTAGGCAATCCCTCAACAAAATCCATAGAAATCCCCTTCCATGCTTGGTCTGGGATAGCCAGGGGCTGTAGGAGGCCAGGGAGGGCTACATTTTCTCCCTTACACCTCTGGCAAGTATCACACTCTTCTACTACTGTCTTGACTGCCAATTTCACCTTCTTCCAATAAAATAAGGATCTCAGTCTCTGGTAAGTGCCTTGCTGTCCAAAGTGTCCCCCTAGGGATGAGGCATGCATCTGTAAAATCAATTTATTCTTCAGTCCCCTATTACTTCCCACATAAGTCTTCTGTTTATACCTGATCAATCCATCAGTAATGGTAATGTCAGAATCACTGCCAGGGCTGATTAAATTCCTTGTCAACTGCTCTTGAGCCCACTCATCACCTTCATAACTGGTAACCAGCTCCTCCATCCACTGGGGTCTAATGACAAGAGTAGAGTTGAGTTCAGCCTCTCTCCTGGAAAGGGCATCAGCAACACAGTTCTCACTGCCCTTCTTATACTGGATTGTATAATGCAACCCCAGAAGCTTGGATAATCCTCTTTGTTGTGTAGCAGTTGTTATTTTCTGATCTAGGAGAAATTTAAGGCTGTGGTGATCAGTTTGGATAAAGAAGTGCCTGCCAAGTAGATAAGGCCTCCACTTCTCTACTGTATTGATAATAGACAAAAACTCCTTCTCATAGATGGATAAGCCTAGATGTTTATCTCCAAACGCTTTGCTGAAATAGGCTATAGGTTTTCCTTCCTGTATCAACACAGCTCTCATTCCCTTATAACATGCATCAGCGTCCACTGTAAACTCTTTATTAAAATCTGGTAATGCCAAGACAGGAGCTTGACATAGTGCCTGCTTCAATGTATCAAAGGAAAATTCAGCTTCCTTGTTCCACTGGAAAGAGTTCTGTTTCAACATATTTGTCAAGGGCCTGCTAATGGTTCCATAAGCCTTAATAAATTTTCTATAGTAGCCAGTCAGCCCCAAGAATCCCCTCAGGCCTTTAACTGATGTGGGCTTAGGCCATTGAGCTATTGCCTGCAACTTGGAGGGGTCAGTGTGTAATCCCTCCCCAGAAATAACATGTCCCAAATACTCCACTTCCCTCTTAGCAAATGAACATTTACTAATTTTAGCATACAGCTTGTGCCTTCTCATAAGTTCCACAACCTCCCTCAAGTGATTCCAGTGGGCCTCCAATTCATGGCTATAGATCATAATGTCATAAAAAAAAACTAGTACAAATCTCCTCAACAAGTGCTTGAAAACATGGTTCATTAAGGCTTGGAAGGTAGCTGGAGCATTAGTGAGTCCAAAGGGCATGACTCTAAATTCATACAGCCCTTGGTGAGTTTTGAATGTTGTCTTATACTCCTCCCCTTCCCTCATTCTCACTTGGTGGTATCCTGCTCTCAGATCTAATTTAGAAAAATACTTGGAGCCTGCTAATTCAGAAAACAAATCATCCACCACTGGAATGGGAAATTTATTCTTGACAGTGATGTTGTTCAATGCCCTATAGTCAATGCAAAACCTCTATGTGTTGTCCTTCTTAGGTACTAACAACACAGGTGAAGAAAAAGGGGACACACTCTCAGCAATCACTCCAGTTTCCAGCATCTCTCTCACCATCTCCACTATAACATTTTTTTTGGTCAAAACTGTATCTGTAGGGCTTGATATTAACTGGTTGAGACCTTGGAATTAGAGGGATGGAGTGATCATACATTCTTCTGGGAGGTAGGTCCTTAGGTTCCTCAAACACTTCTTAGAACTCTTGGATTATATTAGACAGTTCCTGATGTTCTGTCAGAATGTTCACTTTTAAACAACTGCTCCTGGGCACCTTGGATTCCTTGCTATCCCATCCTTCACATTGAATCAAGAACCCTTGAATTCCCCCCTTCTGCCATTTCTGCAATTCCTTCTTGGATACCTCTTGTAACCTAGTTGTCTTGTTGGTCAGGCCCTTCAATAAGACCTTTTTCCCATCCATGTGGAATGAGATGCCCAGGGGTCTAGTATGGAGTTGGATAGGAACAAATTGATCTATCCAATCCATTCCAAGGACCATGTCACAACCCCCTAGCCATAGTAACCTGAAATCCTTTTCAAACTTTTCTCCTTGGATCTGCCATTTCAGTCCCCTGCACATGGCATCACACCTCACTTGTTCCCCATTAGCCACTGTAACACTCAGTGTGGGGGCTTTTTCTGGTTCAACCCTTAATTGAGTTAAGAGTTTAGGATCTAAAAAACTGTGGGTGCTCCCACTGTCAACTATGATTACTACTGGTTGTTTGGAGACACTTCCCAGTAGTTTAATTGTGTTCAACCCTTCACCCCCCATTATGGCATATAGGGAGATTTCAGCTTGTTCTTGGCATTCACCATCCTCCTGCTCATTCTAATTTATTTCTTCTGGTGCATCATGGAACTCATTCTCTTTAATACTGTGGAGTGTGGATCCCTTACACCTATGGCCAGGCTGCTAGGGTTCAAAACACTTAAAACATTTGTTTTGTTCTTTTAATTGTGCTCTTGCCCTCATATTTTCAGAATTCCTTGCAGTGCTATTCAGGGTGTTAGAGGCTGAGGAGTCTTGGGTAGTTTGGGGGCTGGTGGGATTGGTGTTTAGGGTTGGGTTGTATGGTTTAAGTGTGGAAGGGTTGATTGAGGTCTGGAAGGGCTTGGCTGTATACTGGTTTCAGCTGCCTAGCAATCCACATTGCATCTGCTAGGTTCTTAGGCTTATTTGTTTTCACAAATCCTCTCAAGGTTGGTTTCAGTCTGGCTAGGTAAGCTTCGAGGAAGTATAAGTCAGTGAGTGTAGGGTGATTCTGGATCAATAGACTCCGGAATTCTTCAAACTTATCATTAAATTCAAGCACTCCTGCATTTTGTCTAAACACAGTAAACTCCTCCATGACTACACCACTGTCTTCCCCAAACCTCCTACAAATTGCTTCGGCAAACTGGGACCATTGGAAGCGTCTATCCAACCCCGTTAGGTACCCCTCAAACCACAGGCCAACTCTACCAGTTAGATTAACATACAACACATGCATAACCTCCACTCTAGGAATATGAGCCATTAATAGGAACCGCTCACACCTGTTAATCCAAAGCCTAGGTTGACTGTAATCAAAGGTTGGGAAGTCATACCGGTATCTTAACAGAGGAGAGTCCATTCCAGGCCTTTGGGAAACTGCTGGCCGGTTCCTTCTGAATCCATTAGTACTCAGCTCCTCCGGTGCCATCTCACTGTCGGAATCCTCACCATAGTTCTGTACTGCCGGCGCTTTCCCCGGCCTATAGAGTTGCGTCGTCTGGCCTTGTTGAGATTTAACTGGAGGCTCAGCTCATACGCCATTCACTGAGGATCCTCCCTGAGCAGCGTCCAGAATCGGTGGTGGAGGTCGGTTGAGTCGCAGAGTTTCTACGATCTCATTTTTCCATTCGTTCATCCGATTCTCCATCTGATTGGTCTGATTCTCCATCTGAACTTCTATTCGATCCACCAGTTCTGCTGTTGTCCTTCGATGCTCCCCCATTTGGTTGCTCATATCGGCAACTACCAATTCCAATTGGTTCATTCGAGCTTCCATCGTGGGCTCTGATACTAGATGTAACGGAACTAGGGTTAGAAGAGGTGCGAAGTAGAAGAAGAAGAAGAAGAGAAGAAGAAGAGAATTTGAGAGTTGAGAAGTAGAAATTGCATTATCTGAAAACTCAATAGTCCTCCACAATCATAACTGCTGCTATTTAAGTTCTACAATGTAACAAACTTAACGGAATTAAGAAGCTAAACGGCGTCGTTGGCTAACTCCATAACTGCCACTTAATTTCCCCTTCAAACGCTGCGTTTTGCATTTCCCGTAACTGTTTTAACTTCCCTGCTCTCATACGACGTCGTCTGTTCTCCTGCTTTCTTGATTAATCTCCGGAACCATTACAGTACTATAATGTTGCTGGTCATTTGTTTTTCTCTGTACTTGGCATATCGACAAAGGAAATCAGCACAGATGAGAGAGAAATTCTTTAGGGACAATGGAGAAATGATTCTGCAACAAAGGATTGCTCAAGGTAGTGCATCTTCTGGTACAACACGAATTTTCACTGCCTTTAGGAACTTAAAAAAGCCACCAACAACTATGACCAAACTAGAATTATTGGTCAAGGAGGTCTTGGCATTGTCTATAGAGGACACATTCTCGATGAAAGAATAGTAGCAGTTAAAAAGGCCAAGATGATGGACCCAACCCAAGTCGAGCCATTCATCAATGAGGTAATTGTGCTCTCCCAAATCAATCACAGAAACATTGTCATCAAACTCTTTGGGTGTTGTTTAGAGACAGAAATTCCATTGTTGGTTTACGAGTTCATAAGCAACAGGATGTTGTCCAAACATCTACACAACAAAGACAAGGCATCTGCATTACCTTGGTCGACCCGTTTAAGAATAGCAACCGAAACAATTGAGGTCCTCTCTTATTTGCACTCTGCAGCCTCTCCTCCCATCATTCATAGAGATGTTAAATCAGTAAATATTCTCCTTGATGATGACTACACCGCCAGGGTATAAGATTTTGGTGCATCGAGATTAGTCCCTCAAGATCAAACCCAATTGACAACATTGGTGCAAGGAACATTTGGTTATCTAGATCCCGAGTGCTTGCAAACCAACCATTTAACAGAAAAGAGTGATGTCTATAGTTTCGGAGTTGTCCTCGTAGAGTTGCTAACAATTAGAAGGGCGCTATCTTTTGAAGGTCCAGAGAAAGAGAGACATCTATCTCAGTATTTCCTTTCATTGTTGAAAGAGAATAATCTGTTCGAAATTCTTGATGCCAACATTGTATGCGAGGAAAACACTGAAGAGTTACAAGAGGTTGCCTTGCTTGCAAAAAGGTGCTTGAATGTCCGGGGGGAAGATACGCAATGATGAAAGAAGTTGCAGTAGAACTTAGTGGATTGAGGAGAGCAGCAAAACATCCATGGACTAATAATTCAGAGACTTCAATTGAATCAGAGGCTCTACTTACTGCGCAACCAATCCCCTTTGGATATGATGCTACTTTCAGTATAACAACAACTGAATATGATAATTTAAAACATCATATGGATTTTACAGTTGCTGCCGGGAGATAATTGCATCCAATTTATCTCAGCAAATTAGCTATCATATCCCCAATATAAATAATGATTTGTTTATAGTATTCCTTGTGATAAAAAATTAAAATAGTTACTATATTCGATTTGAACTTCAATTTTTGATTGTATTTTGTTTTTTACTGATACTACGACTACAATAATGTTATTACATGCTTTTAACGGTTTTGAAAAATTCAATTACGGAGTTCTATTTTTTAATTTTTTTTTATAAATTAACAATAAACTACCACTAATAATTTTTGAGTATCTCAATATATATTAAAGTAAAATGATGGCCAAAATTCTTCCCCCAAAAATTTTCACCCCAATTCTGCTAATTTATTTTACATATTCTTTATATACATAATTATAAAAATGCTAAATCAAGTATACAAAAATCATTGTCAATTTACCAAATATAATATTATAATAATTAATTTCATCAAATTTTCTAACTTCAATTCTGCTAAATCAATTTCAATTCTACTAAATCATTTTAAAACCTAACTTCAATTCTTCAATTATACAAAATTGCCAATTTACCAAATATAATATTATAATAATTAATTTCATTTCTCTGTATTTGTTATTCCAAAAATTCAAATTAGTTCAATTCTTTCAATTTTGCTAATTTATTTTACATATACTTTATATACATAATTACAAAAATGCTAAATCAATTAAACAAAAAACATTACCAATTTACCAAATATAACATTATAATAATTAATTTCATCAAATTTCCTAACTTTAACTATGCTCCCACTACCACTATATAAATTAGAGGTGTAAATGAGCTGAGCAGCTCGAGAGCCGCTTGCGAGCGGCTCGGTAAAATCTCGGCTCGAGCTCGGTCAAAATCGAGCTCGAGCCGAGCTCGAGCGGCTCGTTTAGTAATCGAGCTCGAGCCGAGCCTAGATATTCTAGGCTCGTGGCTCGTCGAGCCGCTCGCGAGCCATATAATATATAATATATATAATACATAATATAATATAATAACAATTTATAAAAATAACAATTAGAAATTAAAATTTTAAACTTAAAATCCCTAAAAGATTTCTATTATTTATGTATGGATAAAACAAAGTAGTTTGAATTTTAAATCAAAAGTATTAAATAGGTCAAATTCAATGTCAAAATCGAGCTCGAACTCGAACAATCGAGCTACTCGAGCCGAGCTCGAGCAGCCCGAAAATTATCGAGCTCGAGCTCGAGCATCAGTTCTCAAGCTCGATCGAGCTCGAGCTCGGCTCGATTCGTTTACACCCCTAATATAAATCAAGCATTTCAAGAAACATATTACCACTACCAATTTCATATATTTCATTATTCTCCATATAAAATAATCTACATATAATATAATGGCTCATATTTTTATTTTATTGAATAAAATAAACGCCTACAGTGCTGCGTGGGCAATAAAAGTACGATTGATTCGTCTCTACAAACTCAAAAATAACTGCGGAGCAACCTTAGAATCTGTGCTTGAAGATGTGGAGGTATATGATGTTATTTACACTAGTATTTTCACCCGTGCGTTGCACGAAATGGATTTGTTATAATATTTTAAGAATATTTAGATTATAAATTATAACAACGAATATTATATAGTGCAATTGATGAAATGGGTTGAATCAATTATGTTTTCGGATGTTATCATTGCTTGAATTTGAGCAAATAATTGTCCAATTACCCGTGCGATGCACGGATAAAATTTTTTTATTATATGTTTAGGTAATAAAATTAAGGTTAAATGACATTTTTTCTCCTTGAGTTATTCATGTATCCACATTGCCCCCTCAATTATGTTAAAAGTGTCAGTTTTTCCCTCTTTTATGTTAGAATAACATTTTTACCCTTAAAAATAAGCATTTCATTTGTACACGACATTGGTAGTCGCAACACAATATTGTCCATCCTCGTCTAGTGCTAACACATTCAGGCCATCAGGATGGGTGACTCGGGAGAAAGCCACGCACAATTCTCTATGCTTAAAGATCAATATTTTTAGCAATAACCCAATGTGAGCTAGTATTTTGCCTTGGCTTTTGTTGATAGTCATAGCATATGCAAGCATCAACGGGAATTGTTTGTGTTGGAACTTGAAGGGAAATCTCATATCATAAGGAGTGGGAGACATTCGTGGGGATAAGAACTTTGGTTCATTCATGTGTCCCATTAACTATTCTTGCTTCGATAATGTGATCTGTCACTCTTGTGATGATGGGCCGCGTCCCGTTACAAAGACCAAGAGAGTGGTCTATGTTCCGCAATAACATAACATGTGCACCAACCTTTAATGTCAATGAATGATTTAATTAGGAAGACCCGACAATCTCAAACTATTTAAGAATTTAGGAGTGCGTGTTTTTGATAGATTTTCACTGTCTGATTATGCCTTGCATAAAGAGTCACAACTTAAATATGTTCGTCCTTCTACAGTATTCATGTCGCACATGTACTGATTAATTTGATCAACGATATCTAAAGTTGGCGAGAGGATCGCTCGGCCTTCTAGCTGCGACTCATCAAGCATGCCATATCTCGAGCTTGGAAAGGTGTTTTCCACTATAGTTGTTATGGGATCGTGTCCACACTTCAACAAAAACCGTGTCGGAATATCGATCTCAAATGAACTACCGTTTACAACCCCTGCAATCCCATCTCCGATGTCTACAATCCATTTTGAAAACCAATCATCTGTCTGTCTATCTTCCTTTGAAGCTAATTAAGATCCGTTGTCTTAATTTCTTGGTGAGCCTTAATGCCTTGCAATTTGTCAACATGTATGAACAATTAATAGTTTCTCCAACAACTACTGGTCTTGTTGCTTTCGGAATAACATGCAGGATTTATCTAAAATCACCACCCAAAACTATTGTCTTTCCACCAAAAGTCTTTTCAGCACTACCCGGTATGGCGAACCTCAATAGATCTCTCATGATTTTGTCCAAATCTTCGAAATAGTGTTTGTGTGCCATTAGTGCTTCATCCCATATTATCAATTTGCTCATTATTATAAGCTCAACAAGGTCACTAGTTTGTAATATATTGCACGTAGAATCTTCGTTCAAAGAGAGTGGTATAGCAAATCTGGAATGCATTGTCCTACCTCGCAGTAAGAGCAAAGATGTTATTCCACTAGAAGCAACATTCAAAACAATATCACCGCGGCTCCTTATCTTTGACGATAATGTTATCCACACGAACGTCTTTCCTGTTCCTCTGTAACCATACACAAAGAACAAAACATCTCCATTGGAATCAATATCATTCATCACAATGTCGTAAACATTCTTTTGCTCGTCGGTTAATTGTGTTACCAATGTTTCGTGCTCTGTATTCAACGATTCCTTGTCATATGCCAACTCTTCAGCTATCAACATGTTGTCACTCAAACCCATGCTAGTTTCATCTACAATTGACATTTCTGGAAAGTCCTTCAAGCCAAACTCTTCCCCATATAAAATAATATACATATAATATAATGGCTCCTACTTTTGTTTTATTGAATAAAATAAATGCCTACAGTGCTGCGTGGGCAATAAAGGTACGATTGATTCATCTCTACGAAGTCAAGAATAACCGCGAGGCAACCTTAGAATATGTGCTTTAAGATGTGGAGGTATATGTTGTTATTTACATTTGGTATTCTTTTCGCATAATAATATCTTTATTATGTAAATGTATTGACATATTGAAATCTGTCCTTAAAATGCATATATTAATTCTTTAATTTTTTTAAAACTTTTCCATCAAACAGTATGAAAAATAAACATATATCGCCAAATTTTTTTGATAAAATTATTAAAATCTATATTTTTTTGATGCACTGTTACATTAAAAAAAAAAAAAAAAAACTATAAGATCATTGAAAATTTGGTGTATTTTTTTTTCTAATTATTCACAATTTATAACTAATTAATATATCAGGGTACCCTTATACATAATTTAATAGTTTATAGTTTATTACTTTTAAATAATAAAAAGAAAA